GATCTCCCAAGTTCGTGGACTCTGACGAGCAAACTGCACTAACCAGCAAAGCGGAGACAGACTCACAGATGGACAGCAGGCCGGGAGCTGTGGGGGGCTCAGGGAGAAGGAGGTGAAGGGGTGGAGGGATACAGCAAAGAGGAGAAAGGACCCCTGGACTTGGACAAGTGTAGTGACTGCGAGGTGGGAGGTGGGGCGTATAAGGGGCCTAAATGGTAGTGGAAAAATACAATAAAAATAACTGAATACATAAATAGTAATTATGTGTCAGATTGTGTTAACCAGATTCTTGGTTAACTTTCAAGAAAATCATCTCTCTCAATGCTAGAACTGAAGTTTTATCAGCCTATATTAATGTTACATACTTTATTACCACCTAAAATAGATCATCAAAATTATTTTATAATATATAAATCATTACGTCAAGGTTCCTGGGGTTTCAATATTTTTAAAATATTTTCTTGATTATGCTATTACAGTTGTCCCATTTCCCCCCTCCACTCCCCTCCACCCTGCTCACCCTCTCCCACCCAGATTCCCCCCTTAGTTTATGTCCATGGGTCATAAGTTCTTTAGCTTCTACATTTCCCATACTATTCTTGCCCTCCCGCTATTTTCTACCTACCATCTATGCTGCTTATTCTCTGAACCTTTTCCCCCCTCTCCTCCTCCCACTCCCCTGTTGCTAACCCTCCATGTGATCTCCACTTCTGTGGTTCTGCTCCTGTTCTAGTTGATTGCTTAGTTTGTTTTGGTTATTGTTTTAGGTGTGGTTGTTCATAATTGTGAGTTTGCTGTTCATATCTTTTATGTTCATTTTCTTAGATAAGTCCCTTTAACATTTCATATAATAAGGGCTTGGTGATGATGAACTCCGTTAACTTGACCTTATCTGAGAAGCATTTGATCTGCCCTTCCATTCTAAATGAAAGCTTTGCTGGATACAGCAATCTTGGATGGAGGTCCTTGCTTTTCATGACTTGGAATACCTCTTCCCAGCCCCTTCTTGCCTGCAAGGTCTCTTTTGAGAAATCAGCTGACAGTCTGATAGGAACTCCTTTGTAGGTGACTGTCCCCTTATCTCTTGCTGCTTCTAGGATTCTCTCCTTTATTTTTACCTTGGCTAATGGAATTATGATGTGCCTTGGTGTGTTTCTTCTTGGTTCCAACTTCTTTGGGACTCTCTGAGCTTCCTGGACTTCCTGGAAAGTCTATATCCTTGGCCAGGTTGGGAAAGTTTTCTTTTATTATTTGTTCAAATAATGTTTCCACTTGTTGCTCTTCCTCTTCCCCTTCTGGTACCCCTATGATTTGGATGTTGGAACGTTTCAATATGTCCTGGAGGTTCCTAAGCTTCTCCTCATTTTTTTGAATACTTATTTCTCCATTCTTCTCCGTTTGATTGTTTCTTTCCCTATGCATTTTCCTTCATTCCCCTTATTGTAACCTTCATTTTTTCATCTAATTTGCAAACAAATTCAACCGATTCTGTTCACCAACTGAACATCCTGATCACCAGTGCCTTGAACTGTGTGCATCTGATAGGTTGGCTATCTCTTGGTCATTTAAAAGTATTGGTTCTGAGGCTTTGATTTGTATTTCGGTTCCAGTCTTTTTTTTTTTCTGTGGTCTGGTTTCACCTGTTACATAGTGAGGGGTGGAGCCTTAGGTGTTCTCCAGGGTGGGGCAACCCAATCTCAGTCTTGTGATGTTGTATGTGGGGGTGGGGTCCAAGAGGAAACAATGGCACTTGCTCCTCTCTCTGTGGGATTTCAGTCCCTTCCACCACTTCCCCCAAGCTAACTGGGCCTTTCTGGTGCCAATCCCCATGTGGGTGGGCTTGTGCACATTCTAGGACCCCATGGGTCTCTCCAACACACTCTCCTGTGAGGCTGGGAGTCTCTCCCTGTACCTCAACCCCCACAGCTGTTTTCAATCAATGTCCCAAGGTTCTATTTCCCGGGGCTGGGACCCTGGGTTCCCCAGTCTGTCTCACTGCCCAATTTCGCCTGGTTTATCCATGCACAAATGTGTCCGAGACAGCCAGGTGCCTTGTGCACAATGCCTTGCTTCACAGTTGCTGCCTCGGTGGGTCTGCCAGCTCCCTGTGCTCTTGCGCTCAGGATCCTTATGCACCCAGGATGCGTTACGCATCTGGTGCCACCGCTTTTTGTACCAACGCCTCTCTGTCCGGTTGCCCTACTCCGCCCCTCCTACAGGTCTGGATGAACCTGTCTATTTTAACTCCTTGGTTGTCCGACTTCCATACAGTTCAATCTTTGGTCAGATCTGGTTGTTGTCTTGTTTCCAAATTGTTGCTGACCTTCTTTTGGTTGTGGGAGGAGGCACAGTGTGTCTACCTATGCCTCCATCTTGGCCGGAAGTCCGGGTTTCAATATTAAAAGACTTTTTCTTAGCGTAGCAAAGGCTTTGGGACATCTCAATGGATCCCTGCAACAGTTCAAGGGTTTAGTCCTCCTACCTATAAAAGAGAAACTTTGGACTAGTCAGGCTTATTTCATATACTGAAAATACATAGGGAGCTTTGTCAAATAAAGAAATAAAAACTATATCCTATTCACACACACACATATGCTATTACTAAAGTAGCTATTCTAGAGCTTATATAAAAGTCTCCAAGAGTCGACAAAATTCCAATCAACTTTCATTATAACTCTGATGGTTAGTTTGGAATGTCCTGTCTTATAGAAAGGACAGAATTTCGCATCAATTCCATTATAACCAGATCTGTGACCCAGTCATTTGGGGTGGCTTTGTTTTTTTCTTTCTTTCTTTGTTTGTTTGCTTGTTTTTGCCATTTAAAGCCAATTATCATTTTGTTCCAATACATGTGCAAACACATTACATCTTTAAAGTGCATAGAAAGAGCTTTGACCTATTCTAAATTACAAAGGCCTCAAGGTAAACTTTCAGGTCACACCTTTAAACAGGACCAAAATATATAGGACTCTACAAAGTGACTGAATTTTCACCTGGTCCCACCCCACCTCCTGGTGCCAGAGGCCTCCTAATGAGCCATCAGCCACACTGACCAGGGAATGCCGGACAGCATGGGAACTGTTCCTGACCTCTGACCTCCTTTGGGAGCATCTCCCTCACAATTGGCCCACCTGTGAGGGTTGAGATCAGAGGAGAAAACCCTTCATTTCCTTCCCGACGTTGCCCCCACTCAATACACACTCAGGGACTCGGAGTTCGGGCTCTGAATGCATCTTTCACTTGTAAACTGTTTTCCAGTCAGATGTGTTTTGCAGAATGAAGGTAGATGGAGAGAAATGCCTTATATCCACCCGTTCCAAGACAGGGATTTGTCCTATTCCCAAGATAGGGATTTGAGAAAGCCTTGTAGTTGTGATGCCCCAGTGTCAGGTGAAGTAGGAGACACCTTCCTCACAGCCCCAGCAAGACACCGCCAGCCTCTCCCCGTAGCACAGGGGACAGGACCCACGGGGACAGCACAACAGCCTGCTTCCCGCCTGGCTGCCTCCCCCACCACCTCCCAAAGTGGGGCCGACACCACAGAAAATGACAGCAGGGCTGGCACCCACCACAAAACTCAGGACCAGCTCACTTTAAAGCAGCGGTCCACAGCCTTTTTGTCTCCAGGTGCCAGTTGCATGGAAGACGATTGTTCAGAGAAGGGTTGGGACAGACAGGAGGGGAGCTCAGGCGGTGGCTTTGCTCCCCTGCCAGCTGCTCACCTTCTGCTGGGTGGCCCGGCTCCCAACAGGAGATGGACCAGCACGGATCCTCGGCCAGGGGTTGGGGGCCCGGGCTCTAGAGCCTCCCCGGCTCTTCTCACCATGAGCTTCCTGTTTCCTCCTAAACTCTGAGGCTGCGGCCCACTGCCCCGGGGTGAGCTGGACCTGAGTTTTGACCTGAGGGATTTTTACCCTTTTTTTTTACCTGGAGAAATTCCTCCACCAGGTTCCCCACTGCCATCTCCCCTGAGGTTACCTGCACTGGTGCTGTGGAATCTTTCCTACACAAACACAATGACCCCCACACTACAGGCGGCCTGAGGCAGACCTGTGATGGGCAGGTACCTGTCCAGTCACCCCAAGGGCCAGGTTGCCGGTGTCAGGGGAGGCAAGGAGCAGGATGTGGCGAAGAAGAGAAAATAGGGGTCACATGGAGGGATGAGGTGAACGCAAAAGTTGAGTGTTCACACTCGGTGAGTGTTGGTTGGTAATGAGGACAGCAACCGAGTGCTGTACACTGGTCCTAGGAGAGGGCCCTAGTGCAGGTCTGGCTGGGACACAAGGGGTCCCTGGGCAATGCCAGAAAGGGGCATGCAAGGAAATGAGAGGCCTATGGACATTTGAGGGGCACGGTTGTGTGGGGACCTAGGACAGTCTTTCCAGCCTTCTGGATCTTTCTGTCAGCACCCACCCTGGCATTCACCTTCTGGGTAACCTTGGGCATCTCATCAACTCACCTCTCAGCTCCTCAGTGGTAATGAAAGCGCCCCCCATGCACAACTGTTTCACTGATCAGATGTAGTAGCTATGGGGGGCTCCCTGGGCTGGGCCCTCAGGGTCAGGGGTCAGTCCAGACCGCCCTGTCCCCCCAGTGCTCGGGAGAGGACACCTGGCTGCTCACCCACTAACTGACTGTCCCTCTCCTCCTGGACTTCCTTCCTGCACCCAGATGAGCCACGGCCTGAGCCTGACGACCCCTCCTCCACAAGTGCCAGGCCTCTGCTTCTGGGAATAACAGAGGGTGGTCAGCTAAGACTCCTGGAGAGCAAGCCCTGGGGCTGTGACTTCGGGGGGCAGCACAGAGACAGGGACCAGGGGGCTCTGGGTGACCTGTGAGCTGGTCCCTTTTCTGTTGCTGTGTGAGTGCACTAGAGAGCAAGAGACCCAGTCAGAGAAGGGTGAGCCTACCATGCGTCTGCACATACATGGGGGTTCAGGAGCAAAGCGTGCTTCCCAGAAGCAGAGAATGCGGAGGAAAGGGGGTGGGAACAGCAAGAGCACATTTGCACGTGTTTATTGAACAAGTTGGACTTCAGGATACATGTACAGATGAAAAACATCTTGTGGAAGATTCGTGAACTTTCTTTTCATTGCTTTGTATAGAAAAATCAACAAAAACAATTAATTCCCTAAAAATCAAGAATGATTCTGTTAGTATTGAATTAATCTCAAAGGTTTGTTTTTTAACATACCACCGATTTTAAATAAAAAGTAAATCAATCAGATTTAAAGGCAAATTTCTCATGAGCCCTTTGCATTTTGCTGGTGTCTTTGGATCAATGTGGAGAGGTGAGTTTTCTCTTCTTGAAGAAGGTGATTTACTCATCGATCTCCAGAAGACTCCAGTTGTTCAGTGAGGTTGAGTCCGTCTTCAGTTTCCCTGAACCCTGATGGAGACGCAAGGTTGAAGGGTGTGGGAGGGTAGCAGGTGGGGAGAGGAGCAGAGAGGAGTCTGGGGCAGCTGCAATGGTGGGGAAGGACGGGGGGACACAAGGATGTGGGGGAGCAGAGGGACCTTGTGAGAAGGGAAGGGTGGGAGGGAGCTGGTGTCCCAGGGGGGAGCAGGTGACCCAGAGGAGGCCTGAGCAGAGGGAAGGAAGGCCCAGGGAGAGAACTTGGGGAGGGAGGGGAGCAGGGAGGGGAACTTCACCTTGAGGATATTATCCAGTATCTGTGATTTCTCTTCAATGTGTGCACACAGGTCGTCCCCGGGCTCAAATGGTCGACCCTGGTGGTCCACGAAGGTGTCCCAGCAGTGCTCGTACTCTGAGGGGCACAGGGACACAGAAGTGAGCTCCAGGTCTAGGGAGCAGGAGGGGCCACGTGGTGTGTGACCCACAGGGACTCACTGTCCCCATCATTGTTTCACTGCCCCCTTTCCCTCTCCTCCCAAGGGACAGAGCTGCTCCCTCAACTTCCTCCCTCCAGTGGAAGGTGAGGCCGGGCCATCCCCTGCACTCAGAAGTCCCCGGATCTCTAGTGCACACGTGCCCAGCCGCCCTCCCTGCCCAGGACCAGGACCAGGACCAGGTCTGTCCCCAGAACTCTCTTCTCGAGGAGATGCCCCCATCCTCTCAGAGTCCAGCAACCCCCCTGCAGGCAGCTGGGACAGGCTATTCCTCCAGGGGTTCTCATCCTGCCCACCTCTTTCTGGCAGCTTCCCTCAGGCCTCCCCCTGTCCTCCTCCCACCCCCATGAGTCCCTGCTGACCAGGGATGTCCATGATGGAGATCTCAGCCCCAGCCTCCTGCAGTTGGCGAAGTCCGTCCTCATATCCCTCGATATAGCTATAGATGCGGGCGGCAAAGATGCGCAGGCTCACAAGGCTGTTCACACACAGGAAACCCACCAGGCTGAGGGCACAGTCAGGGCAGGGGCTCCAGGAGATGAACACGGTGATGCTGTAGTGCTTGTTCCTGTCCAGGCCCCAGGACCGGATCCGGTCCAGGAAGCACAGCTCTGCATGGCGGGGTCCCCCTGGTGTGTTAAAACCCTGGGCACAAAGGAGGGAGAAAAGAGTTCTGTCACCTGCTGTGAACAGGAGCAGGGCGGGGCCAGGGTGAGGCAGGTGAGGCACTGGCCTCCAGCACAGAATTAAGGGGGCACAGCTCCCCACCGAGAGGGGTGACATTTCCACGCAAGGGTCACTGGGCCAAACTCAGGATGAACAGGACATCTGCAGGTGACAAAGCTCCGCCCAGCAGTGAGGATGTGTTATTCCCCGTCAGCCAATCCTGGCTCCCCACGGTGCTGCACTGGATCCGCCCCTTTATACTGTCCATGTTTGGCTCATCAGGGAATGGGCATGAGTTCCGATTTGAAACTATTGCGTTCATGTGAGTCCTCTCGATGACTGCGTTCCCAGAGCCCCTGTGTTTTGTGTCTGAGGCCCACCCCTTCTAGAGCCGGCCCTACATGGTTGGACCCTGGGGGGCCAGATGAAGAGCTGAGGACAGAGGGAGGGGGCTGGCGAGCCCCAAGGTCACCAGTGGGATGCCACAGAGAGGGGTGCTTCCCCAAGGGAGGGGTTGGCCCTGCTCTCCATGCACTCCCCTCCTGGCCCTCCCTCCCGGCACCAGACTTCAAGTCCCAGCTCTGGGTTTTCCCTCCTGAGGGAGAGAGGGGTGAAGGCCACCAAGGCAGAGGTGCCCAGGAAACGGGGGGAATGTCACCGCTGGGGTTTGAGGAATCTGGAGACCAGACAGGGGACTGTGGACCAGGGCCTTGGCGAAGGGGAAAAAGCCCTGCCCACGGGGCGGTGCAGACCCCGGCTCGAGTGTGTGGGCCCTGGGGACGTCTGCTGTGGGGACCAGCACCCTGCCTGGAGCTCCCTGCAGTGACTGGAGGGAGCACCAGGTGGCTCTCAGGTTCTCTGGCCAGAAGCCGCCACAGACAGGAGGTGGGGGGACCCTGACCCCAGGTCCAGAGGTCTTTCCCTCTGTCTGGGCCTCTCCTGGGAGGCTGAGCAGGAGGGCACAAGGAAGCCCTGGGACACCGGGACCACTGTCTTCTGTGTGGCCCACAGCTGCCCGTCACGGCAGCGTTCCTCCCCCCTGTCTCGAGGCAAAGCCACGGAAGCTGCGGGGACAAAGGACGACGCGGAGAGGACACCTGGAGCTCCCTGAAACCTTCTCCCTGAATCTCCCAGGGCAGGAGGCCCTGCCTGCGGCGGTCTGTCACCTGGTTGCGCAGGAAGCCCTTCAACTGGTCCTCTGGAATGCTGGAGTCACCTTCTGGTTGCTCCACCTCGTAGCACAGGTATGTTTTTTTTGGCCAGTCTACACCAAAATTCTCAATGAAGACGTCCTTATCCATCTGGGCTCTGAAGACACAGGCAGGAAAAACCCACAGACATGGGGCTCCTCCCGGGACCCCCAGTTCTCCTGCCCTTCTCTGCACATCCGGCCCCTTCACCCAGGGCTCCCCCTGTACCCCACATCCCAGCTGGACCCAGGAGCATGGGTGTCCGCTCACTGAGCTGGAGTCACCCGACTCCCTGTGGGACCCCTTCCAGACTCCTGGGGACGTCAGCCCTGTGCTCCTGTCAGGGATCCCGCCCAGGAGCAGTGGGGGGGGTGCTCAGAGCTCTCATGAGGACCAGTTTTTCTGCCCCCAGCTGGGCTGAGTCTCCTCTCTTGGCATCACCATCCTGCCCTTGACCCACTGACAACCCCCTTGCGGGTGTGGACCCAGTGGACTGTGTCCCCTGGTCTGCAGGCTGCACCTGAGCCACACGGAGTTTCGGGGCCCAAGCACCTCCCTGAGTGGGGCCGTCGGGAAAGGAGAATGCCAGTGGATTCCTCTCAAATAACTCATGATATTTTCTCTCTAATCATGAAAGCAATAATGCCCTTTACACAAACAGAAACATAAATCTGAATGCAACTCCTGGCCCACAGTTCAGAGCAGAAAGAAGAGACCTCACAGGGGTAAAGGGGGAGGGGGAGCAGGGACCTTCGAGGATGACTTCCCCTTGTCTGAGACTGGGGCCTAGGGGCCTAGGGGCCTAGGGGAGGCGGGTGGGACAGCAAAGGGGGCATCCGCTGAGGGGCCCTGGCTGGACAGAGCAGGGCCACAGGGAGGGAGGTGCAGGAGCAGAGGCGTCCCCAGGGGAGAAGGTCTGTCCCCTCAGGGAGCCTGGAGGAAGGGTTCAGAGGTAGAGGTGCTTCCAGAGGTGGGCAGTACCTGTCCCCAGGCGCTGGGCCTGCCTCCATGTCTGAGTTCCTTCCCGGTCTCTGGCTCTGCGTCCTTGGCTTGTCTGCCTGGTCGCAGCCTGTGTCCTCTTGCTGGGATGCTTTCATGGACCCGAGTGTCTTATATGCCATCAGTGCACCCAGATACTGCTGAGCTGGCCATGCTCTGCCCCACCCCTTCCCTGAACTCAGGCTACTCATGCCACCCACAAGGTGTCACAGAAGAAGGAGGCACGTCCTTTGCCCTTGAGGAGAAGTTAGGTTTGACTTCTCTGTTCTGAGAAAGGCCACACCTGGAAGCCATGGGGACTGACCTCGAGCCACTGAAGTCTGAGGAGGCTGTGGTCACTCAGGGCAGCATGGCACAGCAAGACACATGTGCCAGGGCGGGGGACAGCACAGGTGTTCATGCCCTGGGGAGACACGGGGCCAGGACCCAGAGCCCCGGGAGGACCGGACGTGGGCACCTATCCCTGAGTGTCCCCAACAGCCAGTGCAGGGGCGGCCTGGCCCAGGTCCTGCTGGATGGCAGGCCCTTTGTGGCCTCAGTGAGGACGGAGGCTCGGCCCTGGGAGGCAGCACACGGCTTCATCGGGTCCAGGAAGGGAAGGGAGGGGGTGACAGTCCTGTGCTGAGCTCTCCCGAGGAGCCCACCAAGAAAGGTCAGGAGACAGGGCACCAAAGTTCTCATCCCAATACCCAGGGACAACAAGAAAGGCTCCCGGAGGAAGGAGAACTTGTCTGGACCGCACTGGGGGCAGAAGGACACAGCAGGTGTCCAGCCTCAGGGATGGCCACCTGTCTTTCTCTTGGCTCCAGGCCATGACAAATGTGGGGGAGCTGTGTTCCAGGCTCCCATGTGACCTGAGCCCTAGCTGGCCATGTGTGTCCCCCAGGGGATGCCCCTCTGTCCCACAGACCGCCCATCCGGGCTCCTCTTACACCACCACGTGCTGGCCCAGCGCTCCCTCCCAGGGCTCATGTGCCCACCCGGGAGAGCTGGTCAGCCCCACGGGGTCCCCCACGACCACCTGCACGGAGAACCAGGCCACAACTCCCCCGAGCTGGTCGTCACAGCCTTAGGGGGAAAACTTGAAATCAGTGTCCCCCTTTTCCTCTGGTGGCTGCCCCACCGCACTCAAACAGGGATCCCCTGTGCTGAGACTCCCCCTATGTCCGGTGTCCTCTGGACCTTGGCCCCCCAAGCAGATAGTGTCCCCCTGGCTGATGGCTCAGGGGTTTCCCGGTGAGACCGTATCTGGGTGTGATTTTCTGTTTTACCTGTGTGCCTAATTGACAGGTCACACTCAGCACCCACGGCACGCCCTCCACACCCAGGCATTTCTAGCCTTCCTGGGCTGTGGACAGCATCTCTACAAAGACCAGGGTTAAGAGACTAGGGTCCCTGAGGTTGGCCCCAACCCTGTCCCAGGTCTTCCCCTCTAGGGCGGGAGAATGGCACTCTGATCCCGGCCAGCTGTCCTCCTGCGCCCCAAAGCACCCCCCAGTCACTCACCCCCAAAGTGCCTCTGATGCCAACACCCACCCAGGGTCAGAGGGCGGGTCTCCTGTGCACACACCCCGTACGGGGGGCAAGGGTGGGCTGAGGAGAGTGGGGTCTGATGCTCCAGGCCCTGAGCCTGGCAGGACCCTCAAAGGTGGCGCCCTCCTGCCTGCCCCGCCCCTTCTCCCTTGGCCCCGCAGCCCGAGGGCCAGCGCCCCACCAGCTTCAGCTCCACATCACTTGCGGACCCAAGCAGATGCGCCCTTAAGGCTCTGCTGGAGAGTCTAGTGGGGGACCAAGGAGGGGGCATCTTTGCCGATAGAACACTTTGCTCCCCCATCCCAGAGGGAGGTCTCCCCACCAGTCTAGCTCCTCAGCCAGTAGCTCTGAGGTCTTCTCTTCTGGAATGTTCCCCAGGAGGTCCTCCCTCCCCACTCCCTTTGTCCAGCCTGGGTCGCCACCCCTGACCCGCTCCTGCCGATGCCCGGCGGCCCCTCTGGGGGTGCACACAGGCCCGGCTGAGCCGCCGCACACCTGGGAAGGCAGCTGAGCAGTGAGTGGGCAGCACACAGGTGGCTCGGCGAGTCCCGGGACCGCTGGAGGGGACGACGTAGGTCAGCGCATTGGGGCCTTCTCCCCAAGGGTTCGTGCCCTGAGTTACGTGTCTGTGTCACACGGACAAGGGGGCAGGGACGGTGCTAAGGAGGTGTCAGCTCGGGCCTGGGTGGGCCTCACCTCTCTGCTTCCGGGCCCCACCCAGGGGCATCCTCCCCCAGTCTGTCCCTGAAGTCTGGCTCCCCAGCTGGGGACCCCAGGGACACGGGCTCTTCCTCCCAGTCTCCCTCAGCCCAGGGCAGGACCTGGTTTTGTGGGAGTGTCAGCAGACCCTAGAGATCGCCTCTGTGTCCACAGCAGCCTGGGCAGGACGCACTGAAAGCAGCTGGGCAGACAGAAGCGGAGAAATCCTGTCTCTCCCAGGGAATGACAGTCCCACGCCCGTGTCCGTCTCTGCAGCACTGAGTGGGAACCACGAACAATTCCTGCAGCTGCCGAGGTTTCCCACAAAGTGCACAAAGGTCTGGGAAAGAGGCAGACAGATGGTGCTGCGCCTGTCCCATTCCCTTGTCAGGGACACTGGGAACAGGCCCGGATGCTCCAGGGAGCCCAGACTAAGGGGGGGCGGGAGGTTCACCGCACCCACCCTGCCCTCCTCCCTCTGGGACTGGGGTGCGGCATCTCCACATGCCTTGAGTCGGGCCAGGCCACTCCATGTGAGGCCCCAGGTCTGCCCTCCCATAAGGGGCCTTCTGAGTCTCAGCCCAGCCCGGGTCTCAGCAGGGGACCCAGGGGTGTCCCAGCCCCTCTCCAGCACCTCAGGCCCATGTCAGGGGCAAAGTTCTAAGACTGGGGACCTGGGAGATGAGGGAGGGGGCAGCACAGACTGGGGAGCCCTTCTCCCAACTTCTGGGGTCTTCGTTCCTTGCTCCCACAGATGGGGGGGCGTGGGGCTGCTGTCACAGCCCAGAAATCAAAACCAAAGGAGCATGTTCAATGTGGAGGTTCCTCCCCTGAACCCCACTTGGGAAGTGTCGACACCCTCTGCCTCCATCAGAGGGGATGTAGGAATCTGGGCATGTCTGGGGGCTCTGAAGTGGTTCCTTTTAAAAAATATATATTTTATTTATTTATTTTTAGAGAGAGAGGAAGGAAGGGGGAGAGACAGGGAGAAAAGCATGGATATCAAAGAGAAACATTGATTGGTTGCCTCTCCTAAGGGCCCCGACTCGAACTGAACCCACAAACCAGGCCTGTGTCCTGACCAGGAGTCGAACTGGTGACCCTTCAGTTTGCAGGACAACACACAGCCCACTGAGCCACACCTGGGAGGGCTGAGGGGTTCCTTTTGCCATGTCCCCTGTGACCCTGTGCCCTTTGTATCTGGGATGGGGGATGGGCTGGGGCCTGTGGCCCCACATAGCTGCATGTGAGGTCTGCTTTTGTCACAGTGGTGGCTTCTCAGGTCCTGGGGACATTCTGAGGAGGAGCTGACTGATGCAATGTAGCCCCAGGAGTCAGAGTTTGGAGATGGCGGCAAGATGTCCAGCGTCTCCCCAGCCCAGGAGGACAGGGTGTCAGCTCCGCATCCTCCTCCTCAGCCCTAGGCAGCCAGCACCGGCCAGGGCATCCTCCTCTGCCGGGTGCCAACCCTGACCTCGCCCTGGGCCAGCCAGGTGACCCTTAGCACAGGACACATGCTCCACCGTTGACTCACACCGCTGACGTCACTCCCTCCACCAACGTCCTCCTGCTCCAGACACACGGGTCGGGGCAGAGAAGCCAGGGTCACCCTAAGCAGCCCCCTCCTTTCCTCACTCCCAGGGCAGGTGTGATCGCCTCGGGCTCCCCTGCTGTCTCCACCTGAGTCCCCTGAGGAACGTGACAGGAGCTGACTCTGTTCCTCAGGTTCAGAGACACCAATTAGGGTGTCTGTTCTCAGACAGGCCCTCCTCCTGAGGGAGAGACAGAGGCCTCAGGTCTCTGAGCTCCTGGATCCATTTCTCCTCCCTCTCAGGGCCCCCGCTGTGTATACAGTAGGTGCAGTAGGTGCAGTAATGTGTGTGCAAGGTCAGTGATGACTTGCAAAGATTTGAGGGCGACAGAAGGACTTGGGGAGGCAGGTGCCTGGTTTCTATCCTGGCACTCAGAAGGAGAGGGTGTCAGCTGCCGCAACTCAGCAGACACAGGCACACATGCACACACACGCAGGCATGACGAGAGGGATCCTCTGGGGTTCCTCAGACACATTCAGAGCCTAGCTCTGCAAAACAGGAAACCTGAGGATGTCGCCACATCCCAAGGCCGGTTTGCAAGAAACTCAGTATCAAATCGGCTCCTTACCTCGATTTCTGGGCTCTATCAAGAACCCCATTTCTGTCCCTGCAAGCAAGTCACGAGATGAAATCCCCCTGGGAAAGGTGAACACCTCTGTCAGGACATATATAGGGGTTCAGAGAGCAAAGTGTGCTTCCCAGAAGCAGACAATGCAAAGGAAAGGGGGTGGGGACAGGAAGACATGGCGCCCGGAAGGCCCGCACCATCCTAGGCCTCCTGGCAAAGTCATCTCACCTCTGCCCCCATGGGCTTGCACGGTGGTGACCGTAGCTCCTTCCCTCCAGCGCTCCTCTTCCCCACCCTCCCTTCCTCGGGCCTCCTCCAGCACAGCCCTGGCCTCCCACCCTCCTCTGGGCTCATCCCCCCAGGCACTGGCCCTGCTCCTGGCCAGCCCTGAGACCCCCAAATGGGCTTCTCCGCCCTCAGGCCCTCAGGCCCCTGGCCCAGGCTTCGTGCATCGCACCGGTTCCTTGCTGCATGGCCGAACCTGTTCTTCCCACCTTTGCCGAGCTCGTGGGCCTGCAGTGTCTCCAGCCACCGCTGGACAGGAGCTGCCCCGCTGCGGGTTCCGGGAGCCCATACCGGGCCCCTTGGGCATGCTGGCCTTTCAGAGTGTTGAAAGAAGCACAATTGAAGTTATGTCAAAATGAATTTAAAAGTTCACAAAACCCACAGAGAGAACACCCTTGTTTCAGACCTTGTGAC